CTTTGGTTCCGGGGGGGGGGGGGCTCAGCTAGTGGGTCAGTGGTCAGCTTTGACGAGTGTGATGGAGGAGGGGCACGGCCGCTGTCTTGTGTACATAAAATCGAATCAGCTGCCGCGTTGCCCTCCGCTTCTCCATAATTCATTCAGGCAGCGGGCCCGGCGCGTAGGGGAGGGAGCAGGGGTAGGGGGGTGTCTCGTGTGCGTGCTTCGAATGGACGAGTGAATGGGGCGATTTTGTTCCATCTTGGTACCCTCCTTTGATACGGGTGAGTGAGTGCATATTCATGATGCGATGCATGGAGTTTCTTCCTGCCTCTGTTGCGTGGGGTCTGTCCGTGTGTGTGTGTGTGTGTGTTCCTGTGTGAATGTGCGTGTGGGCGTGCGGCTGATGCATCGATGGACGCTATTCTTTTCCGAATCGCAAAAGAGACCGCGCCGCGCCATGTGTCCGATTTTGTTGTGTCCTGCTCGGCTGGGTCTCTCCCTTCTCTCCCATGCCACGCCAACCAACCACTCGTCCACTCCACCCACGTACACTCTGACACCGACTGCGCAGTTTCATACCACCTTCCTGTCTGTCTGTCTGTCTGTCTGCCTGCCCGTCCGTCATGTCTGTGTCTGAGTTTTTGGGATGTCTGTCTGTCCATGTATTGTGTTGTGTCGTGTTGCCCCGTGATGACAGCGCGCTCCTTTCCACCATCGATTTGTACCATACGTAGCGTAGCACAGCGTAGCGAGAGAGCATGACACCGACCGAAGAGCGGGGGGACTCGCCGGATGGCACGCGTGAGAGGGAGGGAGGGAAGGGGGGCGAAGGGCGGGTCAAGGAGGCAACCAACAGTCAGCTGATGTGTGTGGAATGGGTGGGTATCGGTGGGGCGGTGTGTGGGTGATCGGTTGCATTTAGTGTGCATACCGTTGAGCGAGTATGTGTGTGTGTGTGTGTGCGGGACGGTGACCCATTTCTCCCTGCGTGCCCGTGGCATCGCATGACTGTTCCCATCCGTCGCTACGCTCTCCTCCATGCCGCTTTCTGCTGCCACCCTCGGCAGCAGATGGCTCCGTGGCGGTGGACGGCTACACGGATGACAGTCTGCTTTGCCTAGGCTTCCCTGTAGTATTTGTTATGGCTTGCCTGACTGGCTGGCTGGCCGCTCGTAGATTGCGAGTGGGAGAGGAGTTTGTCACTGACTGACAACACAGCGGGCCCCGGCCTCATCCCAGCCATTCCTATAAGCTATCTGTGCATCCAATCTACGGGAATGTCTTTCCGTAGCCCATGCCATGGACTGATGACTGATTGCATGTCACTCACGCAGCACGTGCCCTAGTGTGAACTATCGGATGCCTGGATGCCCGACTGCCTTCCTGTACACGTGGACAGATGATAGCTACATTGAGTCAAGTGGGACCCTCCATCTCAAATGATCCAATCAGTCCATCCATCCATCCATCGGGCCATCCATCCCATCAGTCTGTCTTCGACTCATTGGCCTCCTTTTTCTGCACTCGCTGCTGCCAGGTGCTGCTCTGCGCTATGTTGATCATCAAACAGTCTGCCGTCGCCAACACGTTCTTGGTCTGCGGCCCGTCAGCATCGCCGATGATCTCTGCCTCCATGAAGATTTTGCGGCCCTCCTGTTTGACCAGCTTGACCACCACCACTATCACCTCACCCGCCAAAATGGGCTTCTTGTAGTTGACAGTCAGCTGACACACACCCACACACGAAACGATGCTCGCTCTTGCGGGGGCAGGATCTGATTGTGTGTGGGGGGCTCACCCACCTGTGCTGTCGCGGCCGAGGGCGTGTTCGCAAAGGCAAGCATCCTGAAAGAGGGCAGCATGACAAATCACATGCCTGACAGGCGCTTGCTTGGTTCTCACACCACTCACGTGTGTGCGTACCGTACCCGAATGCATTGTCCAGGAGGGCGCTTGTGAACCCGCCGTGGACCACCCCGCGGTGCCCACACACGTTGGTGCCCGTCTGGCACACAACGGTCAGCCTCTCCTTGGAAGGATCCAAAAAGTACCTTAGCAACCTGATGCCTGAATCACATTCGACATTACACCAGCCTCACAGGTGGGTGTCACCAGGAAACGGCGGCCGCCATCGAGCTGACCTTCGACGGCGACGAGTGTGTCATGGATGAGCTGATAGCCGTCTTCGCGAGGCGGGAAGTGGTGCTCCATCAACGTCCCGTTGGGAAGATGCCTCAGCGTCCAGTTAGGAAGGCCCTCTGGCGCCTCATGCCGCACCGTCACGTGTGGAAAGGCATGCCGCACCGCCTCATCCACTGTGTGCGCCTCGTCGCCACTTGTTGATGGTGGCCGATGAATCGGGTGCGGGTGCGGGGAGGGCGAGGGCGTGGCTGTCGTGCTGCGGACCTCACTGGACGGCACAGAGCGATAGATGGGAGCTGGGCTGCCGCCTCCCTCTCCCCTGTCGACGCCAATAGCCTCAGCAAAGCCCACAGAGGTCGGCGACTCATGGCAGAGGTGGGGCTTGCGTGGTGAAGGGTAAAAGAGGATCAGAGATGCTGCGGCGCTGCCAACGATGCTGACGCAGGAGAGCCGCTGCCACGTGTGCCTCCACATGATGAGATCAACAGCTGCATTCACAGGACGCGCTTCCTCAGCTCATCTTGATGAGCTATTCGGCAATGAAAATGAAAGATCGGTGTAGATGCCGCCTCTGCAGCTCGTAGGCCTGGCGTAACGGCGCATACACCTCTTAGCGTCCGTTCTCCGTTTGCGAGTTCAAACTTGGCGAGCTTGAAACCGAAGAGGGAAAGGGGTGTTGTGTCTTCTCTGTCTGTCTGTCTGTCTGGTCAATGGTGTCGGCGGCATCTCTATCTGTCTGTGTGTGTGGCGGGCCGGCTAGGGGCCGGGCCATTTGTGTGTGAGCAATTCACTAAGTCAACTCAGTCACGCCACGGCCGTCACCCGCGGCACACACCGGCACACACACTCCACCACACCGTCATCAAGAGAGAGAGATGGCAGGCAGGTGAGTCAGCCATTCAGCCAAACACTCACACATCGGCCGGAGCGTCACATCGAAATCGGCCGGCAGCGGAGCGGACCGCACCAGATGCACTCTCACACACACCACACCCACAGCCATTCGGTCACACAGCAGCAGCAGCTGGTCCACACAGCAAGCGGTGGGCGAAATGTCCTGAAGAACAAACCGATCGGCGACAGAGATGAATGACGACAGCCAGCGACTAACTTGAGATGCCCTCCTGACAACACACACACACACAGAGAAGGCAGGGCCACACTCAGCCACATGGCGACAGAGGGGATGCATCGCTGCGCACCCACCAGTGCGTGTTGGCTGATGGATCGGTCAGCCGCCGCCCTCCGCCTCAGCTGCGCCACTCTCACCTGCCCAAGGCACACACATACACACATACACACACATAAATGAATGAATGTGACGCAGGTCGACGTGGGGGCCTCTGCGGTGAGTCTGGCTGTGTACCTCCGCTGCCCTCTCCGCTGCCGCCACTCTCATCGCCACCGCCATCGTCCGACTCTATGCCACACACAGCGAGAGAGAGGGCAGTTCTTCCATCCATGTGTGTTTGTCCATACCATCGTCGCTGTCGTCATTCTGCTGCTGCTATTGCTGTACTTGTCCGTCGAATACGAACGGGGCCACCGCCCCCAACACCACGCGAGCCAACTGAGTGGTCACCGGGAAGCGGTGCTTGAACAAACCAGTCCCACACACAGCCGCCTCTATAGTGCCGACATACACACTCACTGCACACAAAGGGAAAGAAGAACACTGATGACATTTGACCAGCAGTCCCTCTATATCACGCCCACCGGTGTTGCCTCGATCCCAGATGCTGATCCATGCGACGAAGGGGTGGCTGCCGTCGGTAAGCACCAGGCGTCGCCAATCATCCCTATCTATGGTCGTGCAGCCGGCCACTGGTGTGTGTGGGGACTGCGTCAGCAGATCGTCCAGACGGCCACCACCGACACCCCTGGACAGACAGACACCAACAAATGATTGACAGACACCAACAAATGGTTGATGGTAATGTGCCCGACCCGACCCCATTGGTGTCATTGGTGTGTTACCTGTTGAGTGTAGTCGTCGATGTGCTGTTGTACCGGTGCTTGAGGAAGTGAAGGTCGAAGACCACGCACCTGTCAAATGACGACACTGACGCATCGGTGTACTGGCCACCCCATGAGATCCACCGGCGACTGAAGAACGAGAAGCACAAGGCGCTCCTGTTCATTGGTGGGTCGTGTGGCTGTCTGCGCCGCCGGTGCAGGTTGCCGACAGGCAGGGGCGGATCGATCGTCAGGCGGAAGCCGGGCTCGTCCTTGATGGCCCGCACCTCACCGTTGCCGTGGTGGAACAGCTGCAGGCAGCTGCCGTCACTGAAGTGGACGTGGCGGCCGACCATCTTGAGCTGCGCCAACACACGGGGAGCCGACACATACGCCTACATACACGATCACACACAGAGAGAATGAGGCCCTCTCCCTCCCCTCCCCTCCCCGCCCCTCTGTTTGCCGGCTCACCGTTTTGTTTGCGTGTGTGATGATGTCAGCACCACTGAGGGTCACAGGCAGCTGACAGTTGCCGCACTGCTCCGCCAGCTCAATCACCTCACCCATCTCGCCCCAGTCCCCCTCCTCCACTACACACACCGCCGCCAGCAGATCATGTGTGCCGAACTGTTCGTCGTCGAACCGCAGCAGCTGCACTTGCTGCCCATTCACCACCCGCCGCAGCCCCGCCTGTGAGCCCAGCGAGTGGCTGAGCCGATCTCTCAGCTGGGCCGCTCCGAAGAGCTCTCTGAGCCACGTGCAGGTGGCCCTCAGCCGCACGACGTCCTTGATGCTGAGGAGGTAGCGGCTCCTCCGGCCGACACACAGGTATGACACGGGGTGCTGCTGCTGCTCCTGGTGCTGCATGGGATGGATGGGCCAAAATGGTCAGATGAGTGAGGCGCTCGACGACAGCCTGCACAGAGCGACAGAGCCGACAGAGGATTGTGTGCATCAAGCATGCTGCTCACAGATCTGTGTGCTGCTCACCTCGTTCGATGCTCAGATGGACAGATCAGAGGGGTGTCAATGAGCTACCAGCACCACCAGCACCACCACCAGCGGCAGCGGCAGATGAGGAGGCCGCCATCGCTCCTCAGCCACACTGCACCGATGGGCCGACAGACACACAGAGAGAGAGGCACACAGAGAGAGAGGCACACAGACAGACAGACAGACAGACAGAAAGGCCAACGCATTCATTGAGGTGAGTGGATGAGCGCATCACTCCTGCAGTGAGTCAGTGAGTGTTGGGCTTCCCTCACCACCGGTGTCTGTCAGCTCAACTGCCCGCCACCCCACCGCAGCAGTCGAGAGGGCGACCGACTCGAGTGACTCTTCTCGCCCCCTTGTCGGCCGAGTGCCTCACTCTCGCAGCGCACAGCTGTCCGACAAGGCGCACAAATGCCGCGCTTTGACCTCTCGTGGGGCTATAGGGTAACAAACCCTTTGACCCCTCGTCAAACCCTCCAGCTCTTTGGTTCGGTGGCAACCGCAGTGGCAGCTCTTTCTTTTGAACGCAGCCAGAAATGGGCAATGTTCTTCGAAAGGGAGATTCGAGTGTTGTTGACGAGAAGAGGGGATCCGGCGACGCCAGCCCTGCAGCGGCCCCTCCGCCCGTCATTGGTATATCGGTCACGCCTGCGTCGCCAAAAAACCAAAACAACGCTGTCGACGCCCTGCCTGACAGGTGAGAATGGCAGGGAGGGAAAGGCAGTCGTGGTTTGGGCTCATATCTTTCTGTGGTGGTTGGCTGCTATGGTTGTCTGTCTTTCAGGTATTTCAAGCGCAACCGAAGGTAAGAAAGGACACAATGTAGTAGACCCCGGGATGGTGATTTCACTCTTGACTCTCCTGTCCCTCTCTGGTACGTGTGAGTGGCAGGGTGTCAGTCAGCGCCGAGAGCGTCAACCCCAACGATTATGTCAAGGTGGTCCATCAAAAGGCCGAGGACACCAAGGTGACCCAGCACACACAGACACACAAACCGAAACCGGCTGTCAGCCACGTGCCTGTGCCTCCCTTGTTGACTGGTGCAGGTGCGGCTGCGTTTGATACTCAAGGACTGCAACAAGGTCCTCTTCTCGGAGCTGTCGGACGACAAACTGGAAGAGGTGGGCTGCACACCGGACAGCACCACACCCATGCAGACAGATCAGCGACAGTTGTGGATGCCCTTTCTGCCCTCACTCAGATAGTTGATGCGATGTTCCGTGTGGACGTCAAGGAAGGCGAGACCATCATCAAGCAGGGCGACGCTGGCGACAACTTCTATGTCATCGACGAGGGCGAATTCGACATATTCGTGGCCCGCGACAGCAGCCCGCCGGTCAAGGTGGGGACGGTCGGCCCGGGGCGGTCCTTTGGCGAGCTGGCACTCATGTACATGTGCCCCCGAGCTGCGACCGTCACGGTGAGCCCACTAGCTCCACGGATGGATGGCTGCAGACCTGTTGCATTGCATCGAAAGCTGCTTTCTGTGTGCCTTGCGTGTATGTGTGTGTGTGTGTGTGTGCAGGCAACGAAGGACTCAGTGTGTTGGGCGTTGAACCGCTATTCGTTTCAGCATTTGATGGTTGCGGGCGAGGCCAAACGCTTCAACGAGTACGAGGCCTTCCTCGAGAGCGTCGCAGTCTTCGGTGAGCGACACTCACGGCCTGCTCACCGAAGACTGCTCAAATGGTGTGGTGGTCTGTGTCAGCATCTCTGAACAAGTACGAGCGAATTCAGCTGTCGGACGCGCTGGTACCCAATGCTTATGAAGAAGGTGCGACGGACGGTCTGTTGACGTGCTTGCCACACCTTGCTGGTCGTCTACTCGCTCCCGTTGTGTGTGCAGGTGAGGAGATCATCACTCAGGGCGACGAAGACGGCCACGAGCTGTACATCATGGAAGAGGTCACACACAGACACACACACACACACACACAGGCGGATGGCTCTGTCCGGTTGCATCGGTGCCTGTCTGTCGTTGCCTTTGTGTGTTCAGGGCACGGCAGCGGCCTTCTTGTCGCGTGATGGGACTGAGGTGAAGGTCAAGGAGTACTCGAGGGGCGACTACTTTGGCGAATTGGCTCTCATTGCTGACAAACCAAGAGCGGTAATCAGATGGGGCGGACGCTAATCGACCCTTTCGCTCCATGACCCCATTGTGTGCCGTCTTTCCAGGCGACGGTGCGCGCCACGTCCGACTGCTCGTGCCTGTCCATCAACCGCGAGGACTTTGTCAGGTCAGCACAACACAGCCATATTCACGCCAGTGTACTTCTTTGTGTGAGTGCGCTGCAGGTTGCTTGGCCCCATTCAGGACATCCTGCAGCGCAATGCCGACCTTTATGTCAAGTACGAGGACGCCATCAAGGTAACATGAGCAGACACGGCTGCAGTGCCGAGAATATCCTCTCCTGCATGGCTCTATGTGTGACGTCAGGCTCAGAATCTGAAGGAGGCCAGCCAGCCACTCGCCGCTGAGGATGAGGCAGACGACTCGCCTTGATCCATACGTAATGATATCGGGGTTGGTGGATGGGTTGACGGATGGGCGTATGTACTGGTCTTTCTCGCGTGCAGGTCAGGTCTGCTTCGTACTTAGTCTGAGTTCTGTCTGTCCGCCTGTCTGTCTGCCTGTGTGGGTGGTTGAATGCTTGTCGACTAGTCGCCTGCCTGTGCTGTGGTGTGCGTGTTGTGGACACTTGCTCACTGAACTGAAGGTGCACTGACTGACTCGTATTTCGTACACACAGGTTTGGACGCCAACTCGAGGCAGGTATGTAGGTATTTGACTGGTAGTGTCAGGTGCGTGTTCGTCCGACGCCTGAACTGGCAGGCAGACGAGGGGTGAACTTGTGCAACCCGGATGTGTGTATCCCTGCTGAGACACTGGGTGTGTTGCTGGAGTGTTGATGGATGGATGAATGGATGGATGGGCAACCTATGAGGACATAAAGCGTGTAATGAGCGAATTGCTGGTCCAGTTGGTAACACGTCGTTGCACCGTCAAGCAGTGTCTCATGCGTGACGGTAACCCATACACGCATACACGTCTATCTCACTCGTCAGCACTCGCTTCAAAGGTGTTCCTGCACACCACACACACTCCCCCATCCAATGCACCCGCACCCCACCCGTACGAGGAACTCCGCGCAGGTGCACAACACACGTTGGCGATGATTGATTGACTCACTCAGTGTGTTGCGTTGTGTTGTGTTGTGTGCAGAGAGTGAGTCCAAGCTGTTGGCCATCAATGACGCGTTGGACACAATGAGGGCTGAGGGCGGCCAGTTGGACCAGCAGATTGAGCTGCTCAAGCAGCAGGGCCGCACACTCCCGGAAGAGCGAAAGGCCGGCGCAGAGATCTCCAGGTGCAGACAGACAGACAGACAGACAGAGATGGAAAGACAGACAGGCCACCTCTCAATGAGTTAGTCCTCGGTGTGGGTGTGTGTGTGTGTGTTTAGGCGGAATCTGCCGGTGTCGCCGCTCGACGTGCAGGCCACACAAGAGGAAAAGAAGGCACGACCCCCCCCCCCCCC